TGAGCACAGTGAGAGAGAAGAAAGCTAACTCCTCTGCCACAGGGCTCTAGGCCAACTTGCTCCAGTCGGGCGCACAACGTGTTCGCGGTTTCCTTTAATGTCCGGATGGCCCTCTCTGCGACCGGGGCGTGCCGACCAACCGGAACATCAGACACCTCAACCGCACCAACGGTCATGGTATCAGCGAAACCCTGAGCAAGGTTCTTCACCACCCCCTCAAGATCCGACTTCACGCAAACCGACAAGTCACGCGCTTCAACTCCAACCAAGCCAACACTGCGTCCCCACGCCGACATCTCTCCAAGCATCACCTCACGCGCTGCTGCTCCACGCGGTCCTGAAACTTCACGGTACATCACTGTTCCGATGGCAAAACAACCAACAAGCACCAACACCAGGAACCAAATCCCCTTGTAGAAGAACTTGTCGATCTGAACCTCCTTTTGGGCTCCCTCTCCGGAATCCCTCTCGATTTTCCTAGCTGGTTCAAGGCCTCTACCACGCACGCAATGCTCACAGCTGGAATTAAAAGGAACATGACTTCGCAACACATGCTCACGGTGAACCTTTCCCCATAACTCCTGGTGAAGCAACTCCTGATCACCACGTAGCAACCACGCCTGGTCGCCGTCTGGGGCCGGTGCTTTCTCCTGATCAAGCTCACCAACACACACATGCTCAACCATGCCACTCATGCCAACCATGCCACTCATGCCAACATCACAAGCGCAAGCACAACCATCAAGCACATCAAGATTTTTGCTGCTCGCCACTGCCTGGGAAGATCCTTTCTGGCTGACTGCACTCAGCGCTTTCGGTCCGTCACCACACTCCATCCACTCGAAGTAGGCGTTCCGGGATTGGTCGGTGGTGGTGGCAATGGCGATGTCTTTGGCGGCGTAGCTGGTGCCCGTGATGCGCTGGCCCTTGGCGATGTCGGATTCCTCGGAGGCGTAGGCAAGCGTCGACGTGGCGGAACCTGCGGAGGGGTAGGCAACCTTTCCGGGTACCCCGGGGAGTCGGCTTCCTTCCTCGGTGGGCTCGGGGGCTTTGCTTTCTCCTTGATGATCTCGGAGATGGTCGTCACAGTGTAGGGGGCCTTGCGGTCCAGGCACTGCAAAAAATGCTCCTTCAGGTGCTCCTCCAGCGTCCGTCTCTCTGGCCCCTGCTTCTCCTTGCGAAAGCGGTTCAAATCGGACTTTGCAGCTGACGTCATGCGGCTTTCCTTTCGATCGGAACGAGGCACCAGCTTCACGGGGGTCCTCTTTGTCGACGAAGAGCTCGCTGCCTTTGGCATTCTCTTCACGAGGGGCTTCTGGGGCATCTTCTTCACCTTGGGCTTCTTTGGCATGGGCTTCTGCAGAGGAACTTTGGCGGGTCCTGGGGTCTCGATCTCGCCCGGCTTCAACACCACCTGGGACTCGGCATCCGCGGGCACCAAGAGGATCGCGCCCTCTGTCTCCGTGGATGTAGCTGTGGCCAACCGGGTGCTCTCCTCGAAGTCCTCTTCTCCCACCGAGATTGAGGCCGCTTGAGTCGCAACGACTCTCCGGACCAGCTTCCCTTTGTCCTTCCCTTCCATGCGCCATTCCACTTCGCTCTCGCTGGAGGAGGCCATCTTCTCGGGCTGCGGAAGGTCTCGTACACGAGGGGTCTGCAATCGTTGGACCACACAGCCTTAAATTTAAAACCACCAGCTTGCACGTGGAGATGGGGGGCAAAAGAAACTGTCCAATTCCTATTCAGGAGTCGTCCTAGGCTCAGGAGGTTAAATCGCACAGGTGCAACCAGGGCTTCAAACTCAACAACGATAGGACTGGATCTCTCAACGGCAAAAGCAAACGCGAACCACAGCACTCTTCTGAACCCCTATGGAAGCACCCGTGGCAGTCACACAGTCTCTACCAACGTGCTCACTAAGGCTCAGCACTTGCACATGCTGCAGTGTCTCCTCGCTGATCAGGTGCGTCGACGCTCCGGAGTCCAGCAACCACCAGTCCATGGCTTCAGAGCTGCTACCATGTGTCACATGCGGGGCTGCCATGCTCATGTCATGAAAATAAAATTCACTCAATCCATGCTCACCAAGCGTCAACGGGGCCTTCTCAAGCTCAACGGGGGTCTCTAGGCTTCCAAGCTGCGACGTTCCAAGCTCAACTGGGGCCTTCTCTTGCTCAACGGGGGTCTCTAGGCTTCCAAGCTGCGACGTTCCAAGCTCAACTGGGGCCTTCTCAAGCTCAACGGGGGTCTCTAGGCTTCCAAGCTGCGATGTTCCAAGCTCAACTGGGGCCTTCTCGAGCTCAACGGGGGTCTCTAGGCTTCCAAGCTGCGAGGTTCCAAGCTCAACTGGGGGCTCCGAACTCTCCAACAACCACGACCTTCCAAAGGCTTCCCAATCACCATCGCTCAAGCTCGACTCATTGTCGGAATCTCCCTGAGCGATATCAAAGAACTCGCAACCAATTGCCGCTGCAAACACACGCGGGCCCTCCAAAGTCAAAGCCGCCAACTGCGGTTCTAGAAGCGTCGCTGCTGCCGCCACACCCTTGGCCGCTTTCTTAGGGCATCGGTTTGAATAGTGCCCCAATTCATTGCAGTTGTAGCACTTCACGTTGGCACGCTTGTCGTGCTTCGGATCATTACCAGAGCTACCACCGCTCCCTTTTCCAGGGTCTTGAGTAGCGTTTCCCTTTCCACCTTTCTCTCCTTTCTTGTCATGCTTGTCCTTTCCTGAGCGACCCTTGTCCTTTCCCTTGTCCTTCCCTTTGTCCTTTCCTTTATCTTTCCCCTTTTCCTTCCCCTTGTCCTTCCCCTTTCCATCGCCCTTGAAGTTCAGCGGATTCGCTATGTCGTTGTTGTTCCTGCGGTCTCGACCTCGCCCGGAATCGGCGAAGGTAAGGATCTTGATGTTTGCGTCGTAGAACTTGATCGCAGTCTCAAGCTCACTCATGGAGTCAATCTTCGCATGCAACAAGATGTACCTCTTCACATCCGCATCAAGACCTTTCAACACAATCATGCTCTGATCCGCTTCACTCAACGCAAGGTCTGGGAACGCAGCAACAAGTCGACCATACTTTGCAAGCTCAACCTGCACGCTGCGAAACACTTCCAAAGGACGATCCTTCGTAGAGGCAGGGGGTTGGTATCTCAACATCTCTTCTCGCAAGGTCGAGGCTTCTATCCTCGAGCAAACCGACAGATCCTGATGCAAGCGCCTCAACGCCTCATAGCCTGCCGGAACACCAAGCTGTTCACGCTCAACTTGCTTCAAAATGTCAAGCCCACGGGAAAAGTTCGCAAATGACTGCCGAAGGTAAAGGAACACTCTGGTACTCCTAATGCTCTCTCCTTTCGCCAAGTCTTTGTTCAGGATTGGCTTGTCTTTCACGAAACAAGCCTGCACTTCCGACGGTATCCTATCATCAAACAAGGCAATCCATGGCAAAAACACTTCAAGGTACTCAACCCATGCTTCGATCTCGGCACGCCGACCCTTGTTCATGCGTCCACCATCCAACATGGGCAACTTTGGCACATATGAGTCTGCCTTAGGATTCCTGATAGGAGCGCCGTTCCCATCATCAACCTCCATGGCATGGTCCACGCTGTCACTGATGCTACTCAAGCTACCAGCTCCTTTGCCTTTCTTCTCAGCACTTGTCCGGTCCTGGACCAGCTGCTGCACCAGCGACATCATTTGAGATATCTGCTGCTGCTGCTGCTGAACTGTCTGAACCAAAAGCTGGGATCCCAGGGCTGCCTGAACGGCAACAGGGTCCACTGCTGCAGGCGGTGGTGGCACCAAACCTGGTGGTGACATGGGTGAAGCCATTGCCGGTATGGGGGTGCCCATAGCAGTCGGAGAACCAACCACCGGGCTTCCTGTGGGGTGCTCTCACGAAGCATTCCGGGTTCACCCTCGCCTATGTGGTAGTACGACGGCCTTCCACGGCCCTCCATACCAAGACAACTCAAGCACACACCAAGTCAGCGTATTGGGCTCACTTTCTTTCTTTGCAACAGAGCTTCCACGCTCCGCTACCACGTTAAAAACCCAAGATGCCAAGCAAGGCACCAAGGATACAACCAAGCCAACTCACGCAAGTCCAAACCAAGCAAGCAAGCTCAGACACTCGGACAACACTTCTGTTTTGGCTTGCAGCACTCACACCAGTGCTCGTCACTTGAGCCAAAGTGGAAAACGTATCACAGCTCTCCAACTTGCCAGCTCGGCTTAAAAGACCTCCAAAACTACCCTCAAGTCACGAAACTCGACGAGAGTGGTTCCCTATGAGGCAAAACGTTCCTGCACCACTAATCGTACTCAGGCTACTGGGAAAACTTCAAAAGCTGAGCAGACTCCAAGCTATGCACACAAAACTGCAAACTGCAAAACTCACCGTGTCGCACCCTCACAGGATGACGCACAGTTCTCGAACTTCTACACAAGGCATTTTTAGGGTTGGCAGGTGTGAGGCAGTAAGGTTGCCTGAGTGCCCGGGAATTTCGGGCCCCCCTCTTGTGATCAGATGCTCCTCGTCTCCACTGCTGGCAGGATTGGTAGGGTTTCGGGTTGCAGGCTTTGTGGGCTCCGATGCAGTAAGGTTTAGTTCGTTTGTGCTTAGAAGTGCCTTGCGTAACTCTAGAGTGCTCTGCGTCTCCTCTGCCCCTCCCGGGAACCTTGAGCCCTCTCCTGCGACCAGGTGCGCATTGTGCCTACTCTTCAACATATTTGCGCAGCGTGGCAGGCAGGTTTCGGCAAGGGGCTACTGCTGTCAAATTGTCTGGAGGGACCTCCCACAAGGCCGTAGTAGAACTGCCGTTAAGGCGGAACAAGAGACCTTGCGCAGTCCATTTGGAGCATATAATCTTGGGTCTGTTGCTGGTCACTGCAGTCGCCGCTCTTGACTGAAACTCGGTCATGAAACATCTAAAAAGAGCAAGGCGTTGGAAGACTTGACCTGTCCAGCCGTATCAATGCCAGATCGTCCTCGTGCCTAAGACTGATGATGGAAACCAGTCTCACCATTTGCTTCATGTTCGAATCCTCTAAGGATTGGGCCTGTCGTGACCTCTGATCTTGCCAGGACCCCTTTTCTTGTATTCGACTTTACTTGACCCTTGTCTTTGCCGTCTGGCTTGGGGTACTTGCTGGGACGGTCCTTCTCCCCATCCTCCCGCACGCGCTTCTCGTCGTAGCTGGGCAGCAGGTGCCGGAAGAACTCCGTTTCCTGGTCTTCCACATCCATCATTCTGTACCACACCTGAATCGCGAGCCAGCTGACACGCGAGCAGCGCTTGAAAGAAGCACAGTGCATGATTTGGCGTGCCTGGATCGGTGCTCGGTAGCCCCAGCGCACCCGCAGAAGGCACACGGCCCCACTTCAACGCGGCGGCAGTGAGCATATCAAGATACCGCTTCCAGATGTCAGCATGTGTTTTCTTGATATGTTGCTTGTGGTGCCTGGGGTCACCAATCCATTGTCGACACACTACGCAGTACTTCAGCAAGTCATCACGCATGGCAGTATCCTGTGTGAGGCACACAAGCCCGGTACTCAGTAGTTTTTGCACCTGCTCTGCTCTCTTGTAAAACGGAAGATCCATAGGTGTAGGCACCAGTGCTTCAGATGGCTTTCCAATCATAGCATGACACCGACCATTGCTAACATGTCGAATCAGGTTTTGCCATCCATGGAATGTCTTGTGACACATTCTACATACCGGCATGCCGTCAACTCCAAGAACATCACGAGTCAGATCGGCGGCAACCGCTGCAGCCTCCCTGTTTACCTCGGGGTGTCGATGCCCAATATGAGTTTTTAGAGCCCGCTCATTCGGGAAGTACTGGCCACAGTGCTGACAGGGCAGGCCTTCCAGCTCCGGAACTTGCACAAGCCTGACATGTGATCTCTGATCCAAAGCGTTAAAAACCCAAGATGCCAAGCAAGGCACCAAGGATACAACCAAGCCAACTCACACAAGCAAGCTCAGACACTCGGACAACACTTCTGTTTTGGCTTGCAGCACTCACACCAGTGCTCGTCACTTGAGCCAAAGTGGAAAACGTATCACAGCTCTCCAACTTGCCAGCTCGGCGACCTCCAAAACTACCCTCAAGTCACGAAACTCGACGAGAGTGGTTCCCTATGAGGCAAAACGTTCCTGCACCACTAATCGTACTCAGGCTACTGGGAAAACTTCAAAAGCTGAGCAGACTCCAAGCTATGCACACAAAACTGCAAACTGCAAAACTCACCGTGTCGCACCCTCACAGGATGACGCACAGTTCTCGAACTTCTACACCCCCCCTCGACACGGTGGGTGTCGGCTCGTCCACGTGCAAGTATTCCAGACAAAGCTCACAAGCAACGCGACGCTGCAGATTGCCTGGGTGGGAATTGCGCAGGGCGGGGCAATTGCTGCGAACATGAAAGGCATATCCATGCCGCGTAGTGATAATTGCTCTCCGACTTTGCTCCACTGGAAGAAAGGTAAGAAGCTCACTCAGAGATAGAATGTGGCTGTGACGCTGTCGGTATTGCTGCACAAAGATTCCAGCGAGGAAGCTGCCAAGCATCGCCAAGGAAAACATCGCAAGGAAGGCGATCAAACTGACTTCCACCTGCTGAGGAACCCATTGCATCCAGAGCTCTCGAACCCAAGTGCGCCTCACAGCGTTCTCAACCTCAACCATATCAGCCATGGCACGTCCTATGCTCTATACACCGTACCGAAGGCAAAGTAAAAGAGGAAAAAACTTTGAGCAAATCTCGCGGTGTCATGCGTTTAACGCGTGCAAGAAAGCGTTCGTCAACTTCTCCGGGTAGTGTTGGGTATTCTTGAGATCGAAGTTGGCGGAATGTGGATGACCATCACCTGGGCACCGAAAGACCGACAAGCCGCGAGCAACCGACTCCATCGTCGTGATGACACGCCAACGTTTGTAGATCAACTCGCCATCTCGACCACGCATGCCAAGCGAGCAACCGTCAACCAACACATCGTGCAACATGTAAGGTCGCGACTGCAGAAAACGGATAGTCTGGTTCCATGACCAGTAAGCACAGGCTCGGGGCCACTCGATCGACCAAGCATGGACGTAGTCACACAACGACATAAAAGCCTTCCACAGCTTCCTGTGTAGCGACCAGTGCCGTGCCAAGCGACCGCGTCTGTAGGCTGGATCACGTGCATGTAGATGCTGGTACAGGCAACCACCGGTGCACGGAGTACTAGCCCACAAGTAGACGAAACCCCCCCTGCGGATGTGGAGAGTGCAGATCTGTTGAAGCTGCGCTGTAGTGGCCGGGTCTCCGCCGTCGTCTGCCTCACTGACAGTCAACACACCAACCCAGGAGCACGCTCGCGACGCAGCCAACATGCTCGACATGGGAGGCGCACAGAACTCAACCACCAACCACTTGGCAAACTCCATCAAACGATACCGATCTGCAAGAGATACATGATCCTTGCCAGCCACAGCAGCACCAAGCAAGCCAACGAAACACGCCAACTCACCAACGCAAGCTGCAACAGTGACTTCAGACAAACCAAGGCTCAACATGTGCTTCAACGTAGTCCGGGCATCCAACGATTTTGTGAAGAGATCTGCGACGTTGGAGGCTCCTCGCACTCCGAAGATGAAGAGAAGTCGCTGTCGGAGCTGATCTTGTATAAAGCATGCTCTCAGATCTATATGCCTGACACGCCTCAAGCCGTCAGCCCGACTGATGGCGATGGCGGCCTCGGAGTCGCAAAAGAGGTGCGGTGCGCACAACTCCTCCCATCCAAACACGTGGGAAATTGCTCTTCGGATTGAAAGTGATTCCTTTGCTCCCTCAACCAATCCGTACAACTCCGACTCTGCTGAGCTGAGAGCGACAGCTTGTTGAAGCCGTGACCACGCTTTCAAACAGAAACCACCAAGCATGATGCAACCACCGCTCACACTCTTGCGATCAACGCTCCTCTCACTGCCCCATGACGCATCCACGTAGCAATCCAACCGAAGGCTCCGTTCATCAACTGGATGGACGATTTGTCGAAAATCCTGAACATGCCGGAGATACCGTAATACCATCCGCATCGCACGTTCATGCTTCTCACGTGGACTGGCCTGGCCTCGAGCTAGCATGGAAACATAATATGCTAGATCCACGCGCGTCATGGCCAACCGTAGAGCGATATCGAGCAGCAGCTTCTGAGCTCAACTCCCGCTCCAAGACTTCTTCTTCTCTGTCGTAAAGTTTTCGAAGATTCGGCGGCGTCGGGCAAGACTTCGGACTCTTCCCAAGTCCAAAACCCTCATAGATCTCCTGGTAGTACTCGCCTGCCACGCCAATCACCAAAGAGTCCTCGCCCTTCTTCCTGGTGATTTGACGACCAAGAAACGTGATTTGCTGATCACGATCCAAATCAGCGGTCACCTTGATCTTCACCGCGCTCTTAAGCTTCTCCACCACGTAGTAGATGGCCTCGTCGCTGTCGCCGCTGATGAGGAGATCGTCTACGTAGCACAACACTGCCACCCTCTGTCCACCGAGAACCACACCTGAGAAGAGGCATGGCTCCGTTTCACATGGAGTGAGGTCGCAGAGGCGCTTGAGGAGCTTTGCGAGATGACGAGCCCAGGTCTGGGCCGCGGCTCTCAAACCATAAAGAGCCTTGCGAAGTCGCATGAACCCGGGCCTTCCATTGGGACCGGTAACTCCAGCAGGGAGCCGCACCACTACCGTGCCGTCTTCTTCTTCTAACTCTGCGAACAAGAACGCCGTACTGACGTCGAGGCCTACGACGTTCTGCCTCTTCGAGCCGGCATAAAAGAGGAAGGTCCTCAATGCCTCGGCTGAGCTGGTCGCCGCAGAAATGCCAAGCTGAGCAGCCGTTGCTCCCTGGGCGAAATCACGCGCAACAACCCGACAACGGACCAGTGGTCTTTCCTTGCCGTCAATCCGCTCCAGCTTCGCATTGGACACCCATCTTGTGGATATCACTTTCTGCTTCAACCACAAGAGTCTCACCACCAAGCTTCACTGTCTGCCCTCCGGTACTGGGATTGGCAACGGCGGCGAAACCCAACGACTCACGGAACAAGACGTTGTTGACCATGGCATCGGACTCTGGTTCTGGCACCCGATCCAGGCTTTCTGACTCAACTTCCATGAAGTCAGCCTCTTCTGAAGCTGCAGGTTCAACTCCAACAGAGTCTCCGAGACGAAGTTCACCCTCAAGCACCCCTTCAGGCAAGAAGGACTCACCGAGGCCTCGCTCTCCCTCATCTTCAGTCGGTTCATAATCCTGCACATCATCAGGCAACTCCAACCCGACGTCAAGCTCACCAAAAGCACGCGAACCAAGATCAAGCTCAACTCCTTCGATCTCCAACTCATGCCGGGCATCATCAAGCACAAACTGATTCGGATCAAAAGAGCTCTTCACGTACGCAGCGTATCTGTCACGACACTTCTGAGTGTGCCACGCCTTGTCCGCCGGAACACCCCTCAATCGACACGCTCGACACCTCGGGGTCCTGCCATTTTCCTCGACCCACGATGCTGGCGGTCCGCGAGTCTCGGTGTTTGGGATTGGAAGATCACGCATGTTCCCTTGGTCAACCGCTGGCAAGCCACGCACAACGTCACCAGCACGCTCGGGCAACATACGACAAATACCACGCAAGGCTGACAACTCAAAGGTCATGGGCACCAACATCCTGATTCGGGCTGACCGAGCAATCTTCAACGAACCATCCTTCAGTCGGAACTGCACCAGATGACTGCCACCCGCGACTTCAGGGCCTAAGTAGGCAGCCTGTCCATATCTGCCCGTGATGAATTGTCGTAGACTCGGCGGAGGTGTGGCCAAGATTGACGCTCCCCAGACGTATATCGCCCGAGGCTGCTTCATAGTTCTTAAACTACGTTGTTCAGGAGTCATTGCCGATCCAGGCTGGATTTGGTAGCGGTTGTGTGCCTGAGCACAGTGAGAGAGAAGAAAGCTAACTCCTCTGCCACAGGGCTCTAGGCCAACTTGCTCCAGTCCGGCGCACAACGTGTTCGCGGTTTCCTTTAATGTCCGGATGGCCCTCTCTGCGACCGGGGCGTGCCGACCAACCGGAACATCAGACACCTCAACCGCACCAACGGTCATGGTATCAGCGAAACCCTGAGCAAGGTTCTTCACCACCCCCTCAAGATCCGACTTCACGCAAACCGACAAGTCACGCGCTTCAACTCCAACCAAGCCAACACTACGTCCCCACGCCGACATCTCTCCAAGCATCACCTCACGCGCTGCTGCACCACGCGGTCCTGAAACTTCACGGTACATCACTGTTCCGATGGCAAAGCAACCAACAAGCACCAACACCAGGAACCAAATCCCCTTGTAGAAGAACTTGTCGATCTGAACCTCCTTTTGGGCTCCCTCTCCGGAATCCCTCTCGATTTTCCTAGCTGGTTCAAGGCCTCTGCCACGCACACAATGCTCACAGCTGGAATTAAAAGGAACATGACTTCGCAACACATGCTCACGGTGAACCTTTCCCCACAACTCCTGGTGAAGCAACTCCTGATCACCACGTAGCAACCACGCCTGGTCGCCGTCTGGGGCCGGTGCTTTCTCCTGATCAAGCTCACCAACACACACATGCTCAACCATGCCACTCATGCCAACCATGCCACTCATGCCAACATCACAAGCGCAAGCACAACCATCAAGCACATCAAGACTTTTGCTGCTCGCCATTGCCTGGGAAGATCCTTTCTGGCTGACTGCACTCAGCGCTTTCGGTCCGTCACCACACTCCATCCACTCGAAGTAGGCGTTCCGGGATTGGTCGGTGGTGGTGGCAATGGCGATGTCTTTGGCGGCGTAGCTGGTGCCCGTGATGCGCTGGCCCTTGGCGATGTCGGATTCCTCGGAGGCGTGGGCAAGCGTCGACGTGGCGGAACCCGCGGAGGGGTAGGCAACCTTTCCGGGTACCCCGGGGAGTCGGCTTCCTTCCTCGGTGGGCTCGGGGGCTTTGCTTTCTCCTTGATGATCTCGGAGATGGTCGTCACAGTGTAGGGGGCCTTGCGGTCCAGGCACTGCAAAAAATGCTCCTTGAGGTGCTCCTCCAGCGTCCGTCTCTTTGGGCCCTTCTTCTCCTTGCGAAAGCGGTTCAAGTCGGACTTTGCAGCTGACGTCATGCGGCTTTCCTTGAGCTTCTGCTTCTTCACTGCCCTTGAACTTGCACTCCACAACGTCAACCACGGCTGCTGGCGATCGGAACGAGGCACCAGCTTCACGGGGGTCCTCTTTGTCGACGAAGAGCTCGCTGCCTTTGGCATTCTCTTCACGAGGGGCTTCTGGGGCATCTTCTTCACCTTGGGCTTCTTTGGCATGGGCTTCTGCAGAGGAACTTTGGCGGGTCCTGGGGTCTCGATCTCGCCCGGCTTCAACACCACCTGGGACTCGGCATCCGCGGGCACCAGAAGGATCGCGCCCTCTGTCTCCGTGGACGTAGCTGTGGCCAACCGGGTGCTCTCCTCGAAGTCCTCTTCTCCCACCGAGATTGAGGCCGCTTGAGTCGCAACGACTCTCCGGACCAGCTTCCCTTTGTCCTTCCCTTCCATGCGCCATTCCACTTCGCTCTCGCTGGAGGAGGCCATCTTCTCGGGCTGCGGAAGGTCTCGTACACGAGGGGTCTGCAATCTGCTGCGCTGCGCTCTGTTCTTGAGACACCAAACAGGCCCGTGCCACCGCATGACTCTGCAACCAGCAACAGTTGTTGGACCACACAGCCTTAAATTTAAAACCACCAGCTTGCACGTGGAGATGGGGGGCAAAAGAAACTGTCCAATTCCTATTCAGGAGTCGTCCTAGGCTCAGGAGGTTAAATCGCACAGGTGCAACCAGGGCTTCAAACTCAACAACGATAGGACTGGATCTCTCAACGGCAAAGCAAACGCGAACCACAGCACTCTTCTGAACCCCTATGGAAGCACCCGTGGCAGTCACACAGTCTCTACCAACGTGCTCACTCAGGCTCAGCACTTGCACATGCTGCAGTGTCTCCTAGCTGATCAGGTGCGTCGACGCTCCGGAGTCCAGCAACCACCAGTCCATGGCTTCAGAGCTGCTACCATGTGTCACATGCGGGGCTGCCATGCTCATGTCATGAAAATAAAATTCACTCAATCCATGCTCACCAAGCGTCAACGGGGCCTTCTCAAGCTCAACGGGGGTCTCTAGGCTTCCAAGCTGCGACGTTCCAAGCTCAACTGGGGCCTTCTCAAGCTCAACAGGGGTCTCTAGGCTTCCAAGCTGCGACGTTCCAAGCTCAACTGGGGCCTTCTCAAGCTCAACGGGGTCTCTAGGCTTCCAAGCTGCGATGTTCCAAGCTCAACTGGGGCCTTCTCGAGCTCAACGGGGGTCTCTAGGCTTCCAAGCTGCGAGGTTCCAAGCTCAACTGGGGGCTCCGAACTCTCCAACAACCACGACCTTCCAAAGGCTTCCCAATCACCATCGCTCAAGCTCGACTCATTGTCGGAATCTCCCTGAGCGATATCAAAGAACTCGCAACCAATTGCCGCTGCAAACACACGCGGGCCCTCCAAAGTCAAAGCCGCCAACTGCGGTTCTAGAAGCGTCGCTGCTGCCGCCACTCCCTTGGCCGCTTTCTTAGGGCATCGGTTTGAATAGTGCCCCAATTCATTGCAGTTGTAGCACTTCACGTTGGCACGCTTGTCGTGCTTCGGATCATTACCAGAGCTACCGCCGCTCCCGTTTCCAGGGTCTTGCGGAACGTTTCCCTTTCCACCTTTCTCTCCCTTCTTGTCATGCTTGTCCTTTCCCGAGCGACCTTTGTCCTTTCCTTTGTCCTTCCCTTTGTCCTTTCCTTTATCTTTCCCCTTGTCCTTCCCCTTGTCCTTCCCCTTTCCATCGCCCTTGAAGTTCAGCGGATTCGCTATGTCGTTGTTGTTCCTGCGGTCTCGACCTCGCCCGGAATCGGCGAAGGTAAGGATCTTGATGTTTGCGTCGTAGAACTTGATCGCAGTCTCAAGCTCACTCATGGAGTCAATCTTCGCATGCAACAAGATGTACCTCTTCACATCCGCATCAAGACCTTTCAACACAATCATGCTCTGATCCGCTTCACTCAACGCAAGGTCTGGGAACGCAGCAACAAGTCGACCATACTTTGCAAGCTCAACCTGCACGCTGCGAAACACTTCCAAAGGACGATCCTTCGTAGAGGCAGGGGGTTGGTATCTCAACATCTCTTCTCGCAAGGTCGAGGCTTCTATCCTCGAGCAAACCGACAGATCCTGATGCAAGCGCCTCAACGCCTCATAGCCTGCCGGAACACCAAGCTGTTCACGCTCAACTTGCTTCAAAATGTCAAGCCCACGGGAAAAGTTCGCAAAGGACTGCCGAAGGTAAAGGAACACTCTGGTACTCCTAATGCTCTCTCCTTTCGCCAAGTCTTTGTTCAGGATTGGCTTGTCTTTCACGAAACAAGCCTGCACCTCCGACGGTATCCTATCATCAAACAAGGCAATCCATGGCAAAAACACTTCAAGGTACTCAACCCATGCTTCGATCTCGGCACGCCGACCCTTGTTCATGCGTCCACCATCCAACATGGGCAACTTTGGCACATATGAGTCTGCCTTAGGATTCCTGATAGGAGCGCCGTTCCCATCATCAACCTCCATGGCATGGTCCACGCTGTCACTGATGCTACTCAAGCTACCAGCTCCTTTGCCTTTCTTCTCAGCACTTGTCCGGTCCTGGACCAGCTGCTGCACCAGCGACATCATTTGAGATATCTGCTGCTGCTGCTGCTGAACTGTCTGAACCAAAAGCTGGGATCCCAGGGCTGCCTGAACGGCAACGGGGTCCACTGCTGCAGGCGGTGGTGGCACCAAACCTGGTGGTGACATGGGTGAAGCCATTGCCGGTATGGGGGTACCCATAGCAGTCGGAGAACCAACCACCGGGCTTCCTGTGGGATGCACTGCACCCGACAAGTTCGACATCGGGCTGAAAGCAACTCCACTACCGACAACGGGGTTCCTTGGTGGAACTGAGGAGTGTCTGGACCCTGAAGGTCTATCATAGGGAGGCTCAGCCCCTCTCCTGCCTCTCTCACGAAGCATTCCGGGTTCACCCTCGCCTATGTGGTAGTACGACGGCCTTCCACGGCCCTCCATACCAAGACAACTCAAGCACACACCAAGTCAGCGTATTGGGCTCACTTTCTTTCTTTGCAACAGAGCTTCCACGCTCCGCTACCACGTTAAAAACCCAAGATGCCAAGCAAGGCACCAAGGATACAACCAAGCCAACTCACACAAGTCCAAACCAAGCAAGCAAGCTCAGACACTCGGACAACACTTCTGTTTTGGCTTGCAGCACTCACACCAGCGCTCGTCACTTGAGCCAAAGTGGAAAACGTATCACAGCTCTCCAACTTGCCAGCTCGGCTTAAAAGACCTCCAAAACTACCCTCAAGTCACGAAACTCGACGAGAGTGGTTCCCTATGAGGCAAAACGTTCCTGCACCACTAATCGTACTCAGGCTACTGGGAAAACTTCAAAAGCTGAGCAGACTCCAAGCTATGCACACAAAACTGCAAACTGCAAAACTCACCGTGTCGCACCCTCACAGGATGACGCACAGTTCTCGAACTTCTACACAAAGCCGCTTGAGTGCGTATCATCCCACACGCCCATTCAGCCTGTGAAGAAATGTGTTCATCCTGCAACACGATGTGATGCTCACACGTCCGTACTGCATGTAGTCTGTTCACAAAAGCAACACTCAGCTCCAACAGAAGATCCATGGGGTCCCGTAGGCCCAATCTCGTTTGTAGCGATGTCGTAGTTTCACCCGTTAGGTGTCGTGGAGACCTGGCAATAGCACGCCAGTGTGTTGCAACCACTCCCCTGAGCTTGGCAGTTGATGCTGGTGTTACGCCAACCGTCACTAATGAATACGTCAGCGAGGTCCAGATGCATGTGAGCCACATACGAACACGGGTAGCCAAGGTCAAAACGCGACTGTGCAGAAACTTCTTGAGTCTAGTGTAGTTATCCTTGGCAACAGCAAGACGCCTCTGAAAGGTGAGATCCTCGAAGTTCGAATAGCTCAAGACGGCACCTAAGCCTTCAACGAGTGGCTGGCCAACCGGCGGCAACGCCAGGAGGGCGAGGCCTATGCGGATGAAGTCGGGCGTGCTGTCGACGCCGTTAACAGGAGGATCCCCCAGTTGAGGTGGGCCCACGCTGAGCGGGCGGGCGTGCGTCGCGTGGCCCGCGACGTCGCTGCCGGGCGGAACACTAGCGACTCTAGGGTTTACGGCGGCTTGATGTAAAGATGGAGAAGCAACGTGCGCACGGCTTCCGTGTCAGACCCTTCTACGGGCAGGTCCTGGGCTACATAGCTGAGGGCGAGCCCTTACCCATCAATCTCCCAAACCGCAACACCAGCATCCTCACTTCTAGTCACTTCTGGTTGGACGACTATCCCCAGAGCTCCGAGCCCGAGGCCAGCACACGACCGTGGACCCTGCAGCAGCCTACAAGGACGCCAACAAGGGCTACAATGGAGTGCCCTTCCCCCTGCAAGGATTTTTTGCGCCCACGGCCCTTTGACCTGGACAGCAAGTCTGATTTTGGGGCTGTGGACCCAGGCCAAGCTCTGAGAAACAACGGGCTGCAGCCCCCAGCACCGCCAAGCTTCTTGAGCCGACTGCAGCAGGCCGAGGCCGCAGCGGGAGCTGCGGCGGGACTGGCGGGCTCTGCATCTGCCATCGCGGGGCACGGACAGAACCTCTACAACGCCGCGCGCAGGGGGTGCAATTGGATCGACCGGAACCTGCGCATCCCGCGCACACCCGAGGGCCTTGCACCCCCGGGCGGCGGCCCGAGTGAGCGAGCAGGTGGCCGAGACCAAGGTCACGGAAGGTTTTGCTTCCACGGCGGAGGTGGCGGCCGGGGCTGCAGAAGCAGCAGCGGCTGCAGAGGGGCCAGGAGCGCTTACTGTGGAGGTCACTTCGGCTTCCCTACCTTTTGGAGTTGATTTCTTGCCCTCTTTTTGTGTCTCCAAATCACACACCTTTTACCACCCACACACTTCCACACTTGAACAGCCAGCAGAACCCAGCCGACATACACGCAAACGCACACCACCCACCAAAGCCACTTTGCACCCACATAATGACACACACCACACTCCATGACACACTGTCAAAACGCCGAAACCACAACACACCCATTCACAATTGAAAAAACAAGGTAAACACACACAGACACCTGCAAGGTCATTGTTTTTTTGTTTGGTGTTACTTCTGAGACTCCATGCGTTACCACCCTTTACCCACACACTAAAACTTTCCTTGCACACTGACGTTAAAGACATGCACCGCAAACCAACCCACTTTGCAACCACAAATGCTCACACACACACACACATCTACAACACTCTTGTGCATGCACACACAGAAAACAGCCGAAACCACAAAATGCACATTCTTATGGATCTCTTAAGTTCCAATTGCAATTTTTTTCACTGTCTTTCTGGTCAATTGACAGCTTACCGGGCTAACAGCACTCACCAAAACACTTGCTGAACAATCTGTTTGTGTTTTGGTTTAGGGCGGTTTCTCGAAACTCTCTCTTTCTGAAGCTTGCAACTTAACCGAGAGATCATTCCGACAAAAAACAAAGAAAACATGAAGCAAAAAGCAAGAGACAAATTCTGTTCAGACGGGCAAAGCAATTTGAACTAAGAAAAGTGTTGCTGTGCATGAATCTGCTGCTGAATCTGAAGAAAGTTGTCTAAGTTTCATGACTCTGGCTTCTTTCCAGTGTTTTCTCGATTTCTCCAAAGTTAAAAAAGAAAAACCAATGTTTTTGCAGTTCTTGCAAACATTGAAAAAAAAAAACAATCACACTGACCTCTCCTTATTCATGGCCAGAACGGACGTAAGAGTCGCCCAGCCTCATTTCCATTCCATTATTCAAGGCACACTGAAATTTGACAGAAGATTGAGCAGAAGAAACTCTGCTTTCTTGGGTGCTCTCAATTCTTTGTCTTTCGTTTTTGGTTGCACGTTGCAATTCTTCCCTGGATTCAGCACCATTCAACGAATTTTCAAAATTTCTGAAGTATCCGAAAATGTTGAAAAAACCCTCAAAATCAACACTTGATCAGTCAAATTTGTTGAATTCACTCTGGTGTTTCGCTCGCTTCGCTCGCACTTATTCACATTCTGGAAATACACTTTGCAATTTTCGAGTGGTTTGGCTTGGGCGTCGCGCGCAACCTTAACGAAACAACACCACGGTTGAACTCGTCTCGTCCTGCAGTTGATTTCTGTCCAAACGGCACTGTCAGAGGCTTTTAAAAACACTTGTTTCCAAGCATTGAACTTTTCCAAGCTGCAGTTTCCACCGATGTTGACTCTGCACCCTCCTCTTCTGCCTTCAGGCCTTGCACCAAAACCTGGAGAATCTGAAACCCAAGATGAGGGGCAGCAAAATTGATCGAAAAGGTAGGGAAGCTCCAGTGACCTCCACAGTTAGAGAAAGTTCCGGTGCCAAACAAGTTCACACTTTGCCGCCTTGCTGCCTGCTGTTCTAATTTTGGGGGAAGACTGACACAAGACTTAGACTGGAACCGACTGAGAGGCTTATTTGTTTTACTCGCAACGAGGAGCTGTGAAAGCCAGATCTGGCTTCCCGTGTGTGAAAAACAACGCCGCAACTGGGCCCAAAAATGGCTCCTAAACTTGGGTTCCAATTTGAGGCTCCAACCTGGGTGGCCTTGTATGTTCACACAGGAAATCCAAAATCTAGGGCCCGTTTTCGGTGCCCAGAATTGAGCTGCTTTTGGAACCCATTTGAGTTTAATAACAATTGAAATCAACTCACAGACAAACAAGATTTTTTCTATTCGATACTGTTTGCATCAACACTCAAGAAAACAAAAAACGCCGTCGATACGCGTGTTCTTGGCTAAACTTGTCTTTAGCTGGCATTCAAGACAAAGCACTCTTGCATTGTTCGCGTGCGATCTTTCTCGCACTGTGGAGGTACTTCGGCTTCCCTACCTTTTGGAGTTGATTTCTTGCCCTCTTTTTGTGTCTCCAAATCCACACACCTTTTACCACCCACACACTTCCACACTTGAACAGCCAGCAGAACCCAGCCGACATACACGCAAACGCACACCACCCACCAAAGCCACTTTGCACCCACATAATGACACACACCACACTCCATGACACACTGTCAAAACGCCGAAACCACAACACACCCATTCACAATTGAAAAAACAAGGTAAACACACACAGACACCTGCAAGGTCATTGTTTTTTTTGTTTGGTGTTACTTCTGAGACTCCATGCGTTACCACCCTTTACCCACACACTAAAACCTTCCTTGCACACTGACGTTAAAGACATGCACCGCAAACCAACCCACTTTGCAACCACAAATGCTCACACACACACACACATCTACAAACACTCTTGTGCATGCACACACAGAAAACAGCCGAAACCACAAAATGCACATTCTTATGGATCTCTTAAGTTCCAATTGCAATTTTTTTCACTGTCTTTCTGGTCAATTGACAGCTTACCGGGCTAACAGCACTCACCAAAACACTTGCTGAACAATCTGTTTGTGTTTTGGTTTAGGGCGGTTT